CCTATAGACCATACTGGCTCATAAGCAACTACATTTGTCCAGTCAGTTACTCGATCTGTGGTAATAAAATCATATTGGATCAAAAGTCAGAAATATCATGAAGTAATTTAATCTTGACATCTACAATCCAACCATTCTCAAGAAGTAAAACAATACAAACATGAAGGTTCATGCATAACTAAGAACAAATTCCACATAGTGAGATAGGGCTTAACATGAGCACATATAGAGGTCATTAAGCAAACAGCTATATTCTGCTAGACAAAGCTAGACATGAATATTCATCTTTTACCAACATCCATACACTAAAGGTAGATAGTGGGGATCCATGGCGAACATGCTAAACTTTTTGCAATAGAGTTATGCTTTATGATAATACATAGATATTTGTTACAGACAGATTTGATTAGTTTGCGCATCTAAAGCATTAATATAACATAATAATAATCCCATCTAGTCTTAAGCTGGACTAGCCACATTCAAGATCAATATAACGTCTATACAGTGCACGGCACTTTCAATGATATAATCATACATGAACATCTAAACATGTACCAGCAATTGCTTTTGTTTGTGCAGCAACAACTTCCATAGTGGTGCCAGCTTCACATTGTTCAAGAGCTTCTCCGGTGCCTAAATGAGATATTTTCAATAACTTCTCCAGTGCTCATATTAACACTTCCAATAGCAGTGTTTTTAGAGGGTATCTGTCAAATTGATGTTCCGGCAGTCAATTACAAAGTTACTGATGCTAATGAATAAATGATCTTATGTAGTATTTTTTCAGGTGTTCAGAAGTGCAGGCAGCAGAAGACATGACATAAAACTAGAAAATGTTTCAAGGTACAAGAGTATGATTCATCTCTCAAGTATAGAACTTCACAAGGCACAAATATGCAAATTTATACACAATAATTGACAAGAAAGACTAGTGCAAACAATTGAATTGTCTCAAAAGTGTTTTGGTTTAAGTTTGTTGGCCATGGAATCTTTGACATGTTTGTTTAGAGACAGCATATCAATATAACAAAAATAACAGGACCACAACTAGCACTATTATCATACAATCTTACGATGCTCTTGCATTGATAAATGATATGTAAATCCAGAAATTCAGTGCTAAAACAACCGTAGACAAATTAATTCCACAACGGCGCAACCTAGCACACCAGCCTATACTATAGAATACTCTATACATATGTAGGCTGCCAGTAATCATGATATATATGCATCACTGCATCAGAAGACATTACAGAACACATAATGTATTCAAGAGCATAAAAAAGTAAATATTCCGAAACCCCAAGGCACACAAAGAGTCAAAGTTGTATACCTCAGTAACTTCCTCTTGTAATTCTGAAATTTCTGATGACTCTCCTGTCTCCACATACCCTCCTAATTCTACATCAAGCTGCATTCGATCTAATTCAGCAGCTTGATGGTTTTGTGGGTTCAGTTGACCCAAATAATGTAAATTTTATGGGTATTTTGGGTCGAAGGTGGCTGACCAGAAGTGAGGTTAACAGAGGAAGGAATTGTCAGTGTAGAAATTGGAACGAATACTACTAGAAAATTGGTCTTTGGTATCGGAAATTTATTGATACTAAAGGTATAATTTCCGATACCAAAGGTCATTAGTATCGGAAATAACACCAATTTGTCCAACAGAGATATAATAGCTCCTCCACCTAACAAGCTATGAAGGTGTTAGTCATCCTCAATACCCCCTAAAACAAAAATAAGAATAAAAATTCAATCAAAGATACATTTGCTATTGAATTCTCTATAAGATCTTACCTCAGATCAAGTGCTCACAACAAAAATCCACTTGGTAATAATCTCTGATGTTTTCCTCCTTGTTTCAAGCAATTCCCTTAGTGAGTGAGTGGATAATCTTCCCATCAAAAAAAGTATACTCACATTGTTCTCTCTATTGCTGCATAAACCAATTAAATTCATTAATAGACATAAGAAAGTTTACACTATAAAAGATAAAAGTGTATTCACTAGTACTAAACTAAACCATGCTCCACTAGCTATTAAAGTTTGAGCGTACATAACAAGTAAATAGATAACTTAGTAAGCTATCAAGATTGAAATTGAGCTAACATAACAAGCAATGTATTATTTGAAGATTAAAAGTTTATGTAAAGACAAGACAAAAAGAACAGAAAACCTCGTGAATTTGTTCTAACATGAACTATAGGGCGATATATAAAATCATATGAATATCCATCATGAAAGTAAATTGTACCTAGAGTGTACCATGTTTCACACCAACGAAGCCAAGGAACAGAACAATTTCTTTGCCATTAAGACAACAGAGCAGCGGTGGTTGTAGATGTGGTTGCTTTCATCTTTGAGGAGAGCTTGAGAGGGAAGAGAGAAGAGAGAAGAGAGGAGAATGAACAGAGGAGGAGAGATCTGACTATCCGAGGCTTGAGTAGGAAAGAGGGATGGAGAGCAATATTATTAAAAAAAAAAAAAAAAAAAAAAAAAAAAAAAAAAACCTAAAATAAAATAAATTTGTGCGCCAAATGATTTTGAACTTTCCTGAAATTTTAATGTACCGCCAAATTGCCAACCCTGAAATTTTGTTGCACCGCCAAATTTGAAATCTAATATATAATTTAAGAGTTTTTTTTTCAACTTTCACTCACAATACTCCAATCTTTGAATGGAGTAATTCTATGCATTCTCTTTTTTTAATTTTTTTTTAATAACTACCTCTTTAACTTCCATTACAATAACTTCCATTTCTCCATTATTTCAAACAAACAAAAAAAAATCTACAACTACAATTAATTTTTTCTTTTAAATATACATAAATGCTCCAAACTCCCTCAATTCTCATGCATTTTTTTATTTTATTTTTTTTTAAATTAAAAAGAATAAATAAAAAAAATAAATAAAAAAAAACAACTACTACCCATTCCACAAAAAAATCAATAACTACCATCCCACTATTTTTTTAATTTCTTTTTTTTTTTTGTATTTTTTAAAGGGAATATTATTAATATTACACTTTTTTAAAAATACACTAATAACATTTCACTTTGTGTTATTTTTTTACGTAGTATAATTGATGACATGCAGTACCACGAGTATATAGTTCATTTATCAACAAATTCACCATAACACTCAAAATCCCCAACCATTCGATTATATGTATTTTCTTAGGAACTACCCTCCAAACACCTTCGACTTCTCTAATAACCAAAACAAACAAAAAAAAAATTATATATATATATACAACACATTTTTTGCGAAACTGGTCTCATCGAAAAACTATTTGCAAAAGAACAGAGTAACTCCTACATCACTGAACCAAGTTAACCCGGTAACCTCTATAGCTTTGACAAAGTAAACCCCATAATTACTTGCCACATTGCATGGCCACCGACATATAAGAGTAGACCCTGTTCTTTTAAGCTTTTGAGCAGAGCAAAGAACATAAGATTTCAGGGAAAACCAAGTGTCAACAAGCTAATAATATTCAGTAGAGCAGAGCTAAGCAGAGTTCAGCAGAGCAGACCAGAACACAAGTCCACCACAGCTCAAAAGAACAGGGTCTAAGTTACAACATTAAAATCAACTTCTCGCATTCTAAGTATATTTTTTCGTATAGTATATATTTAATATCTTTCTAATATAATATATATCCCGTGCATTTTGCACGAGTACACTCTAGTGTGCTAAAATGCTAAGTTGCTAACTGGCTTTAGTATCGGAAAGAATTGTTACAAAAAGTGTGTACTTGTAACAGAATTATTTTTCATAGTAAAAGAACTATTAGTATTGGAATGTATCTGATACTAATATTTCATTTGTATCAGATAAAAAAATTTCCAACACTATAACAAAGTCTAATACTTAGGGTCTGTTCTCTTACGTTGAAATTCAGTTCAGTTTCAGTTCAGTTTAGTTCAGTTCAGCTCAGTTCAGTTCAGCTCCTAATTTCCTTCTCTTATAAAATATTCATTTCACTTCAGTTCAGCTGAGTTCAGTTCAGTTCAGCTCATTTCAGTTCAGTTTAGTTCAGCTGAGTTCAGTCAATGAGAATAGGCCCTTAGTTTGTGTAAACAACTACAAAGTAGTGTCAGAAAAAAAATTATCCGATACTATTGACGTTTTTAGTATCAGAAATATTTTCTGATACTAAATTTTCTGATAATAAAACCCCGTTTTCTAGAACTCTTCTGGTTTATGAACAGAGGACAAAAGGAGAAAGGAATTGTCAATGGTGAACGACTTTTTTTCACCAACCCATTATTTCTCTCTGCTAGAACCCTTAACCTTCAAAATTTTCATGCAAATTCATAGAGTTTTTCTCCCTTCTTCCATATGGCTCGGGCTTGCAACCCCGAAACCACTCGAATTTACCGTCATTATCTTGCTGGAATCATAAATACCCAGCGAATTACCACCGTGGACGGCATCCGGGTGTTCCAGTACAAGGTAGACTTATCTTCGCTTCCCTAATTTCGTCGGCAAGCCTTCTCCTCTTCCCGGTGACAGGTGTTGTTAGACCGTATACCGTCGTTTATGAGACAAACTCATCTGAAATTTTGGGAGTCGCGGTTCATTGGCGAACATAGTCTGACCTCAATTTTGAACCAAAACATCACCGTTTTGTCGGACGTAGACGAGGATACTAGCAAATTTCAACAGATGTTTTAGGGAAAGCTTCGAGGTTTGGATTCCGGCGAAGAGTAGAAAAGGTGGAAGGAGAAATTGCGGAGGTGGGGAGTCGGGGTGTTTGCGGTGCAGTTTGGATCATAAACCGCACTAAACCGCACTTTCAAAAAAACCCTTTTTAAAACAAAACTTTTATTTTATATTATAATTATTAGTTGATATTAAACTCTTTTTATTAACCTTTAATTAACTAATAATAAAACATTAGCTCATATATTTTTAGTTCTTTTATATAATTTTAATAAAAATATAGTATAAAAATCGCAAACCACACTTAGCGGTGCTTTTGGAAACCGCAAACCGCAGGATAAAAGCCTTCTGGCAGCATTGATTGAATGAAAAATCCACTTCATTGGTTACAACAGTCGATTCACTATAGTACAATTATGGCAGCTCCTCCACCATGCTACATAAAATGCCATAGCAATTCAGCTCTGCTACAACAATGGAGCTAAGCAGCTGTACAATGGTACGGAATAAAGAAAGCAAACCACGCAATTTGGAGACCTGTGATTGCCCTAAGTCTAGATATTAGAAGCATTCAGGGCCATCATCTTGCATTGCTCATTCATGGCCAATAGCTGGGCTTCTTTCTTGTCTAATAAAGCATGCAACCTCACATTTTCATCCATCAGTTTCTGTACTTCAGCTTCTTTTTGCATTTTCTCCCCCTCCAATTGGGTTGTTTTAGCAGCCAACCTGTTTTAGGAAGAAAAAACACACACACATACACACAAATGTAAATTAGAGTACAGTTTCAACAAGAAAATGAAAACAAACTGCAATTTCTCAAAGTAACATTTAATTGCAAGATACTATTACACTCATAAGAGAAACATATTGAAAAGTAGATTTTGTATTCAATTTTACAATACCCAATAACCCTTGAACATATTGAAATCAGTCTTTGAATTCTAGTGATAGAATCAACCTCTGGAGAATATAAACATAAATATACACACTTCACTTTGTCTTCTGATATGGGTATAACAACCTTTATGTCCCCAAAGTCTTGCACCTTTGTCCAGTTTAAGGACAGCCCCATGACAAAACTATTCAGCTTTTAACGTATGATAGTCGGATATGTAATTATGTAGCCACACCCAACACACATACGAGTGATATAGTGTACAACCAATAACACCAAAAAAGCAATTTAACAACTCCTTCCGTATTTCCAAATTCAACTTGGTTATTGTAGCTATAAAAGTCGAGAAGAGGTGAAAATGGGATCCATATATGCGACTACTTTTGCTTAACAGAGGAGAGAAATAAACAGTAAGGGATTAATTTATATAAAATTTGGGCCACACAAAGTGTCATTGTAGATGGAAAAATTGAATAAAGGTAGAAGAAATAGAATGAATAAAGTAAAAGTGAGTTTTAAAATAACGAATGAAAATGGAAAATGAGTAGAACTTAGGAAAATGGAGGAAGTACTAAGATACTGAATACTTGTATAATACTTTGCAAATGCACCTATTTATTATAACAAAGTAACAACTACAACACAAAACTACCAACACAATTTGCTATATGTCACAACCTGCTAATTGCCCGGCGTCAAAATACATGACATATTTACCACAAAACAAACACATTGTGACAACAAAACAGAGAAATGTTTTAGCAAAATAACCAACTATTATAATACCACTTGAAAAACACCCCAACATTTCTAAGTAGGGATGAGCTACAATTTCGGGTACCTAGAGGTTAGGAACGGGTTCCGATTAAATGTACGTGTTAAAAATTAAATAGGCTAATAGACTAAAAATATATCAATTGGTTTGTGTGTGTGTGTATACCCGGGTAACTGAAATCAAAACTAGTACCCGACAAGTCCGATTTTCAAAATTTTAGCAGCCAATTTGCCCGAGTTCTAAAGTTGAGGAACCGGTCCTAACCAATTTCCATTCATTCTTTGTGATCACCCCTATATACAAGTAAGATATCTCATTGCTTATACTCTGATCAATTAATCTATAATAAGTTGTCATGTACTTCCAGTGTTTTATTCATAAGATAAAACATAGTCATGTTGGAATCTGTTCAAACTGTCTCAATGTATAATTTCGAATATCACCTATATATATATATATATATATATAGAGAGAGAGAGAGAGGGTGGGTTTAGGATCATATAAGAAACCTCCTTAAGGTGACAAGGGTGAGAAATAATCTCAACCATCATATATAGATATACTGTTATAAGATTTGTAAGCATTTGCTTGAGGGGAAAAACATATGCGGCTTGTAGGGAAACCTATGAAATTTTTTAATTGGATCACTTCACAGACCTATGAAAACTTTTAATCGAATCACTTCACAAGCTTGACTTATGAAAACTTTTAATTGAATCACTTCACAAGCTTGACTTATGAAAACTTTTGATTGGATCACTTCACAAGACAGACCTATGAGAACTTCTGATTGAATCACTTCGCAAGCCAGACCTATGAAAACTTTAAATTGGATCACTTCGCAAGCCAGACTTATGAAAACTTTTAATTGGATCACTTCTCTCTAATTTATAGTTTTCTCTCTCTCAAATCAAATCTTAATCTGTCAATTGATTTATGTTAGGTCAATAATTTCAATTTTTGGAATAAAATCATTTGATTTTCTCCTTTCTACATACTCTTCTCCATCTAAGTTACAACAATTTAGATTTCAAATTTTCAATCAATAAGTAAAGTATACAGGCATAGTTTCTCCCTCTCAATTATCTTTTGCTTTTGGTATCAAGCTTTCAAATTTTATTAGTGCTTGTGTATTCAAATTATTCATAATTAAACTACACAAACTTTGGTGGCTGGTGTGAACGATTTATAAAAGCAGCAATAATTTGAGCTTTGTTTGTGGACTAACAGATCAAAAATAACCTTCTAAAAATCACTATAATTCAAAGCAACAAAAAAATAATAATGGTGGCAAAAAAAAATACGGAGTACAATATAAACAATTGAGCAAATACTAACCGTTCAAAGAGCTTTTCAATAGTTTGGAATTGTTTCTCAGACGAAATGAGTGTTTCTCTAACACTGATGAGACTACTGACATATGATTTCAGAGACTCAAAATCACGCTTTACGCGAGAAAGTTCCTGCTCATTTTCTGCAGCTCTTTGTCTTTGCCTAGATGTCTCTTCAACCAAATCTTCAACTCTCTGCCTCATCTCATTCAATATACAGTTTGTTCCAAAAGCAAATCTTTCCATCTCCTCCAACTTCAAAGACATGCTTTCAAGTTGAGTTTCCTTCTTCTTAATTTCTTCTTGACTGAAGTTTACTTTCTCCTTCTCAATAGCAGTTTCAGACTCTGCAATTAGGACCCTTTTAACCAGAGTTTCCATCACATTTGTGACCATATGCACAGATTTTAATAGATCACACACATAGGCTCCATCTTTATCACAAACAAGACCACTCTGATCACTTGTTCCGGTAGATGTTACATCACCAAGGCCATCAAAAGACAAAATATCAGTATATTTAGACCAACTAGATAATGGAATTCCGTCCTTGTCAACAAGCCCTATCCCTTCCAACTGCTTTATCCCACAAGATGCTTGTGCTAAGTGCGGAACCGCCATTGTTCGTGCTCTAGTCTTCAAATAGGTCAATAAAGTTGCCGCTGTTTTCACTCTCCGTAATAAAATATCCAACTCGTTATCTGCCTCCACTTCAGACCCGGCAATAGAGGCTTTTACCTCCATACATTTCAGTTGCAATGCATCAACTTGAGATTCACATCTTTCCATCTCCTCCTTCCAAATTGCATTCCTTTCACCTAACCGAGGCTTCAAAACTGATAAATCAGTATGCTCCTCTGCTGCCATTTCCTTTATACAGTCCCACAGAATAGCCTTCTTACCTGAGAAGCTCTAGAAGTAGGCAATACCCGTAATCATTATAACATAACAAAGATTAATTAAGCATACTTGTGAAACATTCTACAAGAGTCAAGACTTCTGCATACATAAACATGTGACAGACGGTCAGACACCAATATTATTGTGGAGGGGTGAGAAGCTGAGAACAGCTGCTAGATCAGTTTATTATACAACAATTACATGAGAAAAAAATAAATAAATAAATAAATAAAAGGAAAAAGTGATTCAAAACTATTCAGACAATAGTAAAGCTCCACCTTCAACCTATACAATCAAGCACTATATATGGGGTAAATCATACCATACACCAACCACATAATTTCTCAAATGATGCAACAACAACAACAAAGCCTTAGTCCCAAAATGATTTGGGGTCGGCTAACATGAATCATCATAAAAAATAAATTTCTCAGATGATAAAGAAACAAAAATACTAAGAATTAAAAAGGACATGAAGAGGTAATTTAACAAATAATTAAAAAAAAAACCCAGATCAATTAAAAATCAGAAAGTAAAACCCTAAAAGGTAAATAAAATAATAATGAAAAAAAATACCCATTAGCAGTACTGAAAAATCAGAAAGATCTAAGCTTTAATGAAATTTAAAAAAAAAAAAAGGAATTCTAATTTCAGGGTTTTGGATATGTTCAACAGATAGGAAGACATAAGATAAAGAAACGCACCTTGAGGAGAGAGAAAGAGAAATGAAAATTAAGAGCTGTTGACGCCGGGTTCGATGGAGTGAAGAATTTGACTCAGGGAAAAGAGAAAAAGATGGAAGATGGAAGATGATGACGGGATGTCCGTCTTTGTTTGCAAGGACACCGATTTGGTAAAGGTGACCCCAACGAGAAATTAAGGGAGACAAACAGAAGGCATATTGGGCCGGTGGTTAGCCTTTTCAGTTTTTTTTAGGGAAATTCTCAATGGTAGGTTTTTGCTTATTTTCAAGTGAATTGTTAAACATCGCCCGCAAATTCCTACATAAAGCCCACAAAATAAGAGTGAAATGACACTTTTGCCCTCATACTAAAAAACACACAATTTCTCTCTCTACTCTCTACTTCCACTTTCTCTCTCTAAATTATTTCCAGAGCTATGTCGAGGCGGCCCGGCAAGGAAGTGGCGGCACCGGCGGTGGGCGGAAGGCGGTTTGCCGGCCAGAAGGTAATTTTTTTAATTTTTGTAATTTTTTTTTAAAAAAAAAACCTCCGGCGACGGTGGGGCGCCAAGGCGAGACGCCATCACCACGGAGGAGGCGCCTAGGCAAGGCGCCCGTACGGTGGTGGCGGCGCCTAGCCCAGACGCCACTACCACGGCAGCGGCGCAGAGGCTAGGCGCCACGGCCGTGGTAGTGGCGTCTGGGCTAGGCGCCGACACCACCGTACGGGCGCCTTGCCTAGGCGCTTCGTTCTTTTTTTTTTTTTTTAAATTTTTTTTTTGTTTTTTTTTAATTTTAAATTTTATTTTCGATTTTTTTTTTTTTTTTTAAAAAATTTGTTTTTCTTTTTTTTAAATTGTATGTTCCCTTTTTTTTTTTATTTTTTTTTTTTAAATTTTGTTTTTTTATTTGTTTTAATTTTATATTTTTTATGTTTATAATTTTATTTCCGTGACTTGTTTATTTGCTTTTGTGTTTATTTTCGACTTTTTTTAATTTGTTTTCGTTATTATGTTTCGTTATTTACTTGGAGTTAGGCATCGCAATTTAGACCTGGTGCGGGGAAGAGTATTGACGTCGTGAGGAGTACGATCTACTCAATGGAGAGCTCGGGGCCCAGACACGTTAGATCCCGTGGTATTTCGGCATCGGCCCGCAGAGAACGGGTGCACTGTTCTGCGGACGATCAAGATGATGATGATGATGATGAGGAGGAGGAGGAGGAGGTCGAGGAGGAGGAGGTCGAGGACGAGGATGATGCAGATGAGGATGTCGACGATCAGAGTGGACCATATGATGATTACGGTCCATTCAGTCAGAGACTTGATGATACGTATGAGACGCATAGGGTAGATGTGCGTAAGGGTCGAGATGGTAGGTTTGTTAGTAGATCTGGCACATCATCTGCGTCCACTGTGTCTGCGGGTAGCAGAAAACGGTCGAGGGCCGTTAATGATTCTTGGATGGTGAGGGGTGAGGTGGCCGGGGGACCTATAGACGGGAGTGTGATTCCTAGCTTTTTAGGACACATCGCTACCCGTATTTGGGAGGACCAGGAGAGGGCTTTGGATACAGGCATTTTGAAATGCCAAACCCGGGAAAAGACTTGTAGGTTTTTGTGTAGCTGGGCTGATGCTTGGCCGGAGGAGAGCGAGATGGTCAGGCGATTGAGGGCCACTAGAGTGAGTCACCTTCCTGCCACCATGCACGACAGGATTGACTGGACGCTGATCACGGCTTTCGTTGAGCGATGGCAGCCGGATACGAACTCGTTCCACCTTCCGTTCGGTGAGATGACGATCATGTTGCATGACGTCGAGGCCATCCTTGGGATTCCCGTGGAGGGAAACCGAGCATCTGTCGTCACTGATGCGGATCAGGCAGATTTACTAGCGGAGCTGTTGGCGGTGGATAGGGCTGCGCTGTACACATCGGCACCTGGATATACGAGTATTTTCCTGCGTTTCGACCACACCGCGACCCGGTTCCCATTGGTGATGGCCAGCCACGTGCCTGTGCGTGGAGTCCGCGTGTCGAGAAGAAGTCCGTTGACCGCCTGCGCTCCATACGGTTATCGCTTGACAGGATGTCCCCCTTAGAGGTACAGTGATTAAATTATTTCTACTTTTACAATCTGATGCTTTATTTTATGACTGTTACTGATTTTAAATAATGTGCAGGTGAACTGGATGCCTTTCGGCCAGAACCCTAGTAATAGGGTACCCAGGACCCTCTACACTGGACTGATTCAGTATCGCGAGATCGTAGAGGCGTACATGCCGCAGCGCTGTCTTCGCCAGCTTGGATTTGTCCAAGTTGTCCCACCTCCACCGGCATGGCCCAGTAAGGCGGTACGATCTGCGTCGTCGAAGGAGTACGTCGTCCAATGGCCGTCAAACATGATATCCATGTGGGAGCAGTTTCCGATGGTTGCCCGCCTATGGACGGCGGAGCTGCAGCGGCCGCCAAGTGGGGTGACTGCCATGTGTGACCAGCACTACATGGAATGGTACATCCGGCACTCGCACCCGAGGTTGATCAAAGACATCGACGACGCAGATGATGACGATGTGCCACCTGCCACTGCCTCTTATGCGGTACGTCTCATCTTTTATTTGTTGTTCTCTTATTTTAATATATATATGTATAATACGTCGTTTCATGTTTTATGTTTTGTGTAGTGGATGGGCAAGATTATGCAGTTGGGACACCGACTTTTTGAGGAAAGGGACTGCATGACGAGTGCATCAGGCAGAGCTGTTATTGACGATCTGGAACGGACCCTTGAGCAGTGGCAGTGGGCGTCACAGAGGGATTACTGATATTTGAAATTAGACATTATCTTTTTAGTTTGTAATATTTGAAATTATTGTTCTTAGTTTTTAAAATTCAATATTATCTTTTTAGTTTGTAATATTTGAAATTATTGTTGTTAGTTTTTAAAATGAAACATTATCTTTTAAAAATGAACACATAGAAATGACATAGTATTGACAATACAAGGCCTCATAGTAAAAGGTAGGTGTACATCAACAAAAACTACATGGCAATTAAATTGTTCCACTGTTGCACGCGAGCATGGTACAAAGCATCCCAACCCTCCACGCTTGCTCTACGAATTTCATACCACTTCGGTATGATATTTGGGACCGGAAAATCGGGTGACATGTCTAATCGGATAAAATGTCTGTATGACGGCCCAAGAAATCCAATAGCAACGTCCCTTACCGGTCTGGTGACGGTCTCGCGCGAACACCAGGGCAGAACCGTTGTACATGGATAATAGGCTCGACTATGTAAACCAAGGCCGAAATGCATGACTGCACACTTGTAGATGTTTGCAACGGCAAAGAGATCAAGTGGCGCATCGAACCAATGATTTTGACCGCAAGGTCCCCCTCCCCACCGGATACGCTGCAGAGACCTATCCAAGTCCTCGCCGTACACATGGCCATACACATCTCGGTTTGATGCGATTTCACTGTACATCAACTGCCGCACTAAACCGTAGTTGTCTTCACCCATTTGAAACACATCCGCCACAACCCGAAATCCGCAGTTACCATCTGCAATGACATCATTCCACCCGTCCAAGAATGGCATCATGATATTAGGGATCCTGTCCTTATATGGAAAATGTTCAATGTCCATTCTCCCTGTTACACACATCAATAAACACAATAAACAAGTCAACAGTAAACTAATCAAACAGTCAACAAAAGAAATTGAAGTCGAATGTCTTACCGGTGCCGGGCATATTCACCGACGACGATGATTGGCTGCCACTTGATGAGGATGTACGACCACGGCCACGGCCACGGCCACGACCGCGAATGTACTCAAACGCACTCTTGTTCCGCCGTGGTTGTCGACCCCTAGGTCGCTCGACCCCTTCCGGTTCCTCGGTATCCAAACACGATGTATTGAACATGTCATGAAGTATGTGTGTAGCACTACGAATGATCGAAGGGTGACTGGAGGACACTTGGTCAAACATCATCTGAAACTGCTCCAACTCCTCCTGTTCACGGTGAACCGTATGCGGAACAGCATGCTCTCCGATAACGAGCGTCCGCCAGAATGGATGAACCTGATCGACATGTAACGACGCCCTGTCTTGCGTAATTACGCGGTGAATGGTGCATGCACAAGGTAATCCATGAGTCATTGATATAGCACATCCGCACCGAATAGCCACTTCATCGCCCAACTCCCTCATCCTGGTATACTCGCTCAGAATCAACCCCAAACAGTGGTGTGACACACGACCGTGGAGAATCTTAAATATGAAATGGCCATACAACATGCCATGTCGTCGTCTGGAGTCCTCGAGATAGTTCTTGATGCCGTTCCTCTGAGTATCAATAGCCTTGTTTATTCTCTCGAACAGTGTATCCAGAGCAGCCGTGGAAGAATCAATCCAGTCCTTCAAAGCTCTATGAGCGCTCTCGACTCTGCATGTCGTAGTGTTCCCAAAATGAAGAACTTGGTTCGTCCAATATTTGACAAACTTTTCCCTCTGAGGTACCCACTGATGCATCACATAGTCTACGATTGGCGGGCACCACTTGTACGCATCCTTTAAGTTTTCCAAGGCTCGATCGTACTCTGCCTCCGTGGTAGCTTGCAGGATCTTCCGCCACTTACCATTTACCAATCTCTCTGCTGAATCTAAGTTCTTGTTGAAAAGGTTGTAGGCTTTGACTTTCACGCAGTTGTTGATGTGCCATGTGCACAGTAAATGGCTCGACTCCGGAAACAGCTCCGCTATAGGGGCAAAAAGACCTCCCTCACAATCACTTACGATGGCCGATGGCTGTACATTTGGGCCGATGTAGTTTCTCAACTTTTCCAACACCCAACGGTAACTCGCAGCCGTCTCATCCTTCATGACTGCATAACCAATCAGAAAGTTCTGGTTCGTTGGAGCCATCCCAACCATCTCAACCAGTGGGAACTTGTACTTGTTTGTCTTGTACGTTGAATCGATCAAAATCACAGATGGCCAAGACGAAATCATATCAGCACAATCAGGATGGACAAGGAACAAATGAGTTACCTCCGATGTGTCTTCGTCAGATTCAAACCAGTAAAGGTAACCACGTGCTTGTGCCTGGTGCAGAAGCTGCTGTATAGGGTTCCTTCCCTCTGACCGTTCAAACCTCAATTTCTGTCTGACGTTGTAGATGTGTCTTCGGTTTGGCTGGTCTTCGGGGAATTTCTCTAACACAGACGCTAATA